AGGTAAGTTCTTAGGAGCTTAGAATCACACTCTTCATTAAAAGATGGCTTAGACATTTTCAAGCATGTTTTATCTCTTTGTACAATTTCGATTGTTCATGTACATTGGACTACTCCTTGTGAACTTGTACATTGTTAACCTTAGACATTTTTTTGAAGGCAAAGTCATGTCTGATTGACTAGGCATCTAATGAAGTATTCAAGTTGTCAATTTGAAAACTGATAAACGACATCAATTGAGTTTGCTTTCAGCATTATAATCACTTCTTCGTGCTGAGGAACCCATAGTGTGCAATTTTCGCATCAAGACGGTTAAAGGCAATTTTGATAGGTAATTGATTCAATCTTTTGCGTAATTTTCATTCATAAAACGAATTTGAAAGGTATTTTAGCAGAAATAATCCATTCAGAGGGTGATCTACATTTCTGTTCAGGTTTGCTTCTGTATTTAGCTTTGCATTGTGTTTGACCATAACCCTTCCATTTCAATCTGTCTTAATAATTTAAACCTGTGTTGTTTAGCCTCCAAAAGCATGGACATTTGCCCCACTTGCAAGTGGTGCAAGACATAAGGGAAATGTTTATTTTGGACAGAGGAAGTTTGATTTGTGTGAAAACGGTAGATGAAGGTCGATGAAGATGCATAAACAATATACTTAAGTTTTATTTGGGGGCGTTCTTTTAACAGTTTTTCCTTATTTGGTTCATGGGCAAACATAAGCACTCGACGGAGCGAACGTGATGTCTCTGAAAATTCGGGTGAAGATTCTCGAATGCCATAGGCTCGATACACGCAGACTATATCCGTTTATATTCAATTGTCACATCCCAGATTTAAAAAGAGTCAGGTTTGTTATGTGAGAAGAAAAAGGGCTCTTAAATATAAATTTCCTTGAGGCTGCTTCCGAGTGTCGGAAGCCTTTCAGTTATTTCGTTGGGTGGTTTATGGCGCACTTCTTACACGGATCAAAGAATGTAACTTTCTGTCACGCCGATTTGTCCATAGGGCTCGTGTGTATTTTGCTTTAACGTTTCAGAGTTTGTTATGTGTAGGCAGAAAAAGTCAATCAAGGTGTTAGATGTTATATCAGACACGCTCTTACATTAACTTTTGGATGAATACAGAGATGAGGTTCTTCCACACTGCTGGTTTTAATTACTTCTTTCCTTTAAATACATTTCTTGTCCGTTTAAAGCTGGTTGTGTACAAAGCCCTTTTCTGACAGGTTTTTTCTGACGTCGAGTTTTTAGTTAATTGAAGATATTTCAATATCCTTTTGTTAACCGGCTAAGATAAAAAACTCGCGGCAATATTTCAAACATTCGCTTCCATGGAACTGTTATGTTTCATAACCAATGAAAGATTCCGGTTCGTAAAATTCAGTGACAACTAATTGAAGCAAATATAATGGCATTCACGATATTATAAATCCTGTAATCCTCAAATCCGATCCGGGTATTGAGAGACAAAAAAGCGGAAAAAATATTTGCCCGGAAGCTGCTAATCTTAGGTCTTGTTTCCATGCCTCAATGAATTCAATAATCTTGATGAAAGTAAAAATTTTAGCGCACGATACCCTTGAACTAGCTTTACCTCTCGGTCTGATTTTTTTGAGGCCAGTAGTAGTTAAGTATTTGAAATTTTTTGTTCATTAAGCCACTGTAATAAGCTTTCCCTTTTGAAGTCGCTTGATAAATACTCTCTATTCTCTTTTTTTATGTACTCATTTAGCATTCTTCTGTGATAGTTGTCACTTAAGCCAGACATTCTCAACAATGCTCTTGAAATGTCTGTATCTGGCTGATAAACAGCCTTTACCCTAAGTTCACCATTGTCTATCACTGGGCTGGTTTTTGTCGTTTTACTTTGTTGTAGTCTTGGAAGATGCAGGTTTTTTTCTACTTGTCCCAAACCGACTTCGCGTTGACTTTTCAAATCAAACATTTGTGCTGAAACAAGGTTTCCTTCTGATCGTGAGCGGCTGCTTAGCTCCAAGCGTGTGCGATACCGATGGATCACGGGACTGCTTTTGCTTCCTTCGCTTAGATGCGCATGTGGCATGTGCACGTGAATTTGCGCGTTTTTACCACGTTGGCCGTCTCTTTGTCCATCTTGTTTTCTTCTTGATTTTGCCTTTACGTCTTTTCCTTGCATGGCTCTTGATTCCTTTGAACAGTTTGCTCTGTTCTCACAGAGAAACAACGAATGAAATGTTGCATTAGCAAAAACATTTGATGTGTTATACTGTTGATATATGTCAGATGTATTTTATGAGATCAAATTAATATTCTGTCTTTCAAACCATAATTGTTCTGTCTTCTTAGAGTAGAATATTTGCCTTGTCAAGAAACGTTTGCATTTTATCCTAAAAAAAAACAATAACTACACGATGTTTATGAAGGGAAACAAACAAAGCCAATACAGATGTTCTTTAAAGAAGAAGATGCTCCGTAAAAGTAACACCAAAAATCTTAACGCACAGTATAATACATCTATCTCCTCTAGGCAAAAAATAAAGGAATGAATAAATGAATAAATCGTTTTCATTGAATGAGGGTCTCAGTGGGGTGATGGCTTTCACGGCTATTGGTTAACTTCACTGAGACCCTCTAAAGTTAGTCAACGGCATAGCATTTTCCTGTTATATCAGTGATTCCCTTACCAGTTTACTTCAAATACCAGCCTCTTTAACGCTTATTGATTAATAGAAAACGATTTCTTTTTCCGAAGCAATGCTCGATTGATTCAATGATCGATCTTCAGTGACTCATCGATGTTTGTTGAGATTTTCAAATAAAGCAGAAGTTTCCCTTGTAAATAACACTAGAGAGGGCACTTTGTAATCTTGGCAAGTTTAATGCAAAAACAGGGAAGTGCGTATTAGACACTCTGAGAAAAACAGGTGATAGCTGCACGTAATAATATTAAAAGATATGACATGGCAGTTTTAGTCGCCCTCTGGCTACTGATTAATTTGTGATATTTGCTTTAAAACGCCGAACAAAGCTGTCGTCATTAGCCATTCATTCAACTTTTCGCTTTTTATGCAACGGTTAAGGCAAAAACCGTGTTTTCTCGCAAATTTATACAAACTTTCTTTTAACACAACAATGAACTAAGATAAATTTTCCAGAATATTGCTGGGATGGATCGCTATCACAAAATCAATTCGTTATTGATCTTTCTCTGCAAGGTAAGAAAAGTCATAACTAGATTACGTCCAAGAACAGAGATATGGCTTTCAGTGATCGCTATAATTTCCTATCTCAGTTTTTGTATTGTTGGAAAGATAATGCTCAGGAATTGAACTAAGATGCCTACTTTACCACCCACGTTAAAAAAAAATAATACATTCGCCGGGCAATGAGTGACGCCTGCCTAAATGGCCCGAAGTAGTGAATAGGAAAGACAGACAAATATAAATCGAAATAGCTACGATTGTATATCACCACACGAAGTAAACGAAGTAAACGCAAAATAGGTTAATCAAACCTGGAAATGTCTTCAAAGTTGGAAATCCGGTATTCTGAATTCTTACCGCGGAAGTTCTGGAAAGATCGCCAGTAGTTAGTTAGAGTTTAACAGTTAGATATGAATTTTAGCTGACGTGGCGTAACTAATGTAAAACTATATTGACCCCTTTCAAATAAGTCACTGTATCGTAAAAGAGCCATTTTCTCTTAATCGTTTCTTTAAAGAACTATAAAATACTTTCGTTCAATTTCATGCTCTTTTCTTTTCCTAGTATGACGCGGCGTTTTCATACCTGCCGTAATATGGTGCAAGAGTTCCAAACATTCTTTTTTTGTTTATTTCTTTGATTGTTCTCAATTTTGTTCGATTGATCAAGCTTTTACAAACATTAGAAGAAAAAAGTAAGTTGAATGGGTATAGAGAGATACAAGCTACGATTAGCCACTTATAATTTGAGAAAGGGCTTATATTTATAGGCCCATTTACTGCTAATGTGGACATACTTTAAATAGACATATTGTCTTTCTGTCCAAATTTTTTCGCTGACTCTGCACTTCAATGTAAGGTTCTTATGATACAAGGTTACATAATGTAGTTACGGTGAGTGAACCCACAGCAAAAAATCTACTGGACTTTGAAACATAAATATATATATTTTTTTTTAAAGAATCAAAGGTCAGGTGTGCAACCAGACATTTTCTTCGTCGAACTGAGCCAAATGCGCATTCTAAAAGAAATACGACTGAAAAGTTCTGGCCGCTTTTTATGCATCTCGCTTTTGAGAGGAAAATAATTTTCTTATCCTTCCTGTTAAGGTGATCATTTTTCCGGCTTAAAAGAAACAAAACAAGGTATATCAATCCTGTGATAGTCTATTCGCTCATCCTGGTAAACTGTCCGGTGATTGCATTTACCCACACTACTGATAAAAAGAAAACAAATTTTCGCGTGAATAAGTGGTCTGGTACATTAGGTGCTTTAACTAATTGAGGAATTTTAATAGCCGGGTCTGTATCTTTTCCTTTCGCCGGAAACCCAATAAAAATAACTCCATGATTACCAGACACTACTGCATCAATTAGACGAAATGCGAGCGTTGTAACGTCTAGCATTACAGTCATCGTGTCTCTAAATTGACAGTGACCTTGACATTTTCAAGGATATCAAGAAATCCTTGATGTGAAAAAGGCTGTTCCATTCACTCTTCAGCATTTTCTGCCTTTACTTTCGTCTGCGAAAATGAATTTTCATTTTTACGATTCCTCGTAGCTGGTACAGAAATGATACAAAAAAAAATTGTTTGTGCCAAGCATTCGGTCACTCAGCTACACAAAATCGTCCTTGAATATAACCAATCAGTTGAGTTTCACGAGAAGGCTTTAAATGTTCGAGTTTTTCACGTGAAACAAATCAAGTTTACATGTACCTCCCGTGAGGAGCGCGTCACTGGAACTAGCCTCACGCGTGCAAGCTTTAATGATCGGCGATCATTTGAGTTTCACGAGACTCAAACTAGTATGTGCTATCCCACAACAAGTGGGTTTATATTCACGTGAAACAAATTTGGGCAAGTTGCTTCTTGCTTCGCAGGACTTTTATCAAGGTATCGTCGTATTTGTATGTTATATTCTGGATCAAGACTTGTAAATCTGTGAACTTGTGTTTAAAGGTAACTAGTTTAAGATTTTTTACCGCATTTATTCCTCTTTAAACTTTCGAATCTTTAGCTTTCTTGTATCATCTTATCATCATGTGACAGACTTCGATTCTACATGTATAACCCTTATAAATAATGTTTTATACTTCTAGTTCGCAATAATCGAACACATGGCTGTTGCAAACAGTGTGATTTCTGCCTAAAATTAGGAGCAAAACGTCTACCATTTTCAATTGACCGCAGGAAGTTTTGAAATAGTTGCCAAAGACAAGAACAAAATGATGAAACATCACACAGAATCCAAGATTATCGTTTTGTACATATTTTGCAACATTATTTATGTACTATTTTGCATGATTTTTGAATTTCGATTCCAGAATTCATGATAACAAGAAGGAATTGAGGGTGTGCAAAAATCTATGATTTTATCTTTCACATCTTTTTAAGAATTTTCGTTTGTTCAAGATGAAAGCATTACCAGTCAAATAACTGGTTATCAGGAGTGTTTACGCTCGAACGCTTTAGTCATTTTAAGTAACAGCTCAATAATAAACTGACGCATCTGCCTCATCTAAATTAAACACACTGTTTACAATGAACGGAGTCATTAACACCAGGGTGAAGAATATATTCAAATGGAAGTAACAATAACAAATTTTGCCCTATGTTTTTGTAATACTTTCTTCACTGATTCACTGACGCAATTGTTTAATTCTTAGAACGAAAACATATCCTGTCGATGTTTTTCTTCTTATAGACTACTTTGACGACGGATTACAGCTCTAAAGGTAAGATTTAAAGTATTAGAATAGTTACAAGATAGAAATATTAAGTCTCGCCTTCGCCACGAATGCAAAATTGAGAGTTTTCCAAATTTTTATTTTATTTTTTTTATTTTTTTCTCTTTTGTTTTTCTCTTTCTTTTCTTCTCTTTTTCGTCGCCACTCGATTTCTGTTTTATAAGTGCCAAGCACAACAGTACAATACTTTAGGATATCTGGGAAATCAAAATGTCCATTATAGGATTGAAGTCTTTCCGAGTGCCCGACATTGTAACATATCACAGTCGCACAGATTGTTCTGGTAATTCTTATAAATGTTTTGTTCAGACATTCTTCGCGGTAAATCGTTGAATATCAAATTATACATGTAATCCCATGTAATCTATCAAAAGGGTCGCGTTTTAAAAGTCAGAATCTTCGATTTTATATGCATATTTACAAAGATTACGAGTCAAAAAGAAGATTAGCATAGAGGACATTTTAACGTCTTACTTTTCATTGCTAATGATGATTTGGTTCTTGATACGTAGTAACCTTACAACTAGATCACTATGTTAAAAATAACTATCATAGGGCGAATGCTATCTTCGATCAATTTCTGGCAAAAGTCAGGTTCTTTCGTGCTTTACTCCTATTTTTTATATTTTTTGCACAAAGCAGATTATTTATTCATAAAGTTCTGATCTCCAGCAGCAGATGTTTAAAAATAGTCTAAAATGGAAGGTATAATCCTCAAGTTTTAATTCTATCTTTTCCTTTGGAATCACTTCGACAAATTAGAATCCCAGCAAGGGTGCGTTGAGGTATTCTTGTATCCTGATTGTGGATACATCCACAATCTTCCACTTAACAATACAATAAACAACCTTGTTGTGTCCCTGGATGTCAGAATGCAAGTCACTTCAATGTGAATTTCATATATCAGTATTAGAGAGGTGTCAGATTGTAAGCATTTCCCCTAAGTGGTCAGTAATCCTTTTTGAAGGTCTTAAAGTCATGCACGATTAATCAAGTGAAAAATCGATATGTCCGTTTTATTTGAAGTTCAAACGGCATTAACTACCCCTTGATAATGTGTCCTCTATTTTATTGTTCAAAGATACATGACCGTTGTTTCACTACCGAGTCCGCATTAGAACCTATTTAGAGGAACGTCTTGCAATTGTGCGAAGTGCTTCACTGAAAGTCATTCGTTCTTCATTCCATAGTTCATAATTAAAGTGATATATCATGTCTCTGAACGGATCGAACGTGAAAGAGGAGGAAGATACGAAGTTCACAAAACTCTTCGTTGGAGGAATTCCTTATAATACAGCGGACGGAACTTTAAGGGAGTACTTCGAACAGTTTGATGACATTGTGGAAGCTGTAATCATCCGTGAAAGAAATAGTCAAAGATCCAAAGGATACGGATTTGTAAGTGATCTTATAGAAAACATATTTTAAGTTGAGTGACAAAATTAGGCTGTGGAATGTAATAATTTTATCGGAGGGTTTGTCCGTGAGGGTATGTGGGTCACTAGGTCACGAGGAAAATTCTTTAGCCAGATACCGATTCTCTGCCACTGCCAACTGCATGTGGTAGACTTATTTACTACATCAGCGAGGTTAATGCACTGATATTTAACCTGCTTCTGTAAAGCATCAGTATTATTTCCATGATGGGAAAATACATGATAAAATTATATCTGCGTGAAAGATGTGTTCGCAATATACATTTTTAAATCTTTTTCTCGTTCAAAGGTTACTATGGCCACTAAAGAGGGAGCCAAAAGAGCATGCGTCAACAAAAGGCCAATGATCGACGGTAGGCGAGCCAATGTCGACCTGGCGTATCTTGGTGCAAAACCCAAACCTACTAAAATGCCTCAAACAGATGATGCTGCCAGCCCAGAAACTAACGGTGTTCCTGCCTCGCCTACAAACTCTGAAGCTGCTACAGACAGTGGAGCAGAATGGGCTCCCGAAGAGTTCAGTCCTAAGTTCAAGAACCCTCAAGGTTACAATGTTGGCTTTAAGTATGACACAGGACATCCATCTCCTCCTATACCGATAATGATCCATCCAGCAGAATTCAAGCCACCAAACGTCAGCAGCATGCAGACCTACAATTCCAATATGCCAATGATGAACAACGTGGCGTATTACGCAGGAAGTATTCCACCCTACTCCTCACCAACCAATGCAGGCTTTGACCCCAAGTTCATTGATCCCTCCACTGTTAGTTTAGTAACCTATGTCCCTCAAGTGCCTGTGACATCTGCTCAACAAAACTCTCAGAGTCTTAATGTGCAATGTCTGCCACAGTACAACCATGTTCCACAACCACTATCAACGACGAAGCTGATCCCAAACCCCCGCTATGTCTACCCCATGCCAGTGTGGTATGTGGATCAGGGCAGGATACCTGGTGGGCAGGTCAGTTTTGAACCTGTGAGTAACTACTCCCAGATACCTTTCAACTCCAACTCTGTGGATGGAAGCAACACCTTTTCCACTTGCAAAATGTATCCCATCACAACTTATTTCTGACACGTTTTACTTGAATTAACATACCTTATGAAGGAAATTTGCGTTTTCTACAAGTTATCATGGACTCAGTATATAGTCAGCCTATGAACAGATAATCATCGCAACAGGTTTTTTAATTATAATAGTTATTTTCATAAATTATTTTCTGATTGTCAAATCTGACGCACCTAAAGTAATTTTTACACCTGCTCCTATATGCATGAAGCAATAACTTTTTTCCTTATCTGGGCATACACTGAGATATGTTACGCCAATAACTGTAGAAAGAAACTGCCTCAATGTACATCAGTGCGATATAGCCATGTAAATTACTAAATAAAATTAAATCAATCAAAACCAAGTAAACGCTGTTTTAAAGCAGCCTCATTTAGGATAAGTTAATTAAGGTATAAATACGTCACTTGAACCAGCTCAAGCTATCGAGAAAGTACCTTCGTGACGATGTATTGTATCAGTACATGCTAGAACTTTAAACGATCATTGACAAGAGTAATTGTACCGATAAGTTTATACGCAGGCGTATCAACTAAATGAAATTACGGATGTTATTATAAACACTTTAGTTATGCTGTAGATATCATAGAAACATTCACACTTTTGTAATGTACCGAGGACTAGATTTCATTCACAGTAATTGAATAGGTAAATTCAGATTTAATTGAAGTCGCCTGTTAGTTCGATTGAAACATCGGAAATAACTCAGTCAAATCCATCCGTTTATTTTAGAATAAAATTTCTACTGTTTTGTCTTTGCAACAAGCTTTTATGTCATGTTAGTCTTGTGTTAGAGGATATGTCATGTTGGCGTACATTGAGAAACAAAGGTTTCCTTTTTTCTTTCGCTTCACATTTTCAACGTGCAGTTAGTGAAGGCGAATTAGCCAATGTAGCTGACGTCTTAGCCGGCCAATTTATTGCGACAGAAGGCAACACTCGAAAGAACATCTTTTCCATATTCGCTTCAGTGGCCAATTTGCCTTAAATTATCAACGATACATGACAATCAACTAAATCAAAGATGCGTCTATCCATAAACCGTTGTAGACATGAACCAAATCAACGGCAACATAATCAAATTGAACGAACATTTTTACTACTGTGTATCCCTAGCATTCTGTAATATGGTTTCGTACGCTGATGCTTCAAGACATTTTTTGAGATACATCAGCTACGCGTCAGAAAAGAGGCCTGAACTACGATTATTCTCTTTCATGAAAATAAAACAAAGACGGTCCTTACCTTTAGCCTTATGATGCTTCAACACGTTGTTCCATCCAGAATACGTCGATCTTCGTGAGGTCGTGTTCACTTTTCACATAGAGAGATGTGACGACTGCAAGCCTGATCAAATCAACCTCTTGACCGCAGGAACTGATTACTATAATGGGTGACGCAATTTATGTGACGATGTCAGTTAGCAAGTGAATGTCACAAACTACTACATCAATCATTTTTTCGTTCTTCATCTTATTTATAGCCCTCATGATTTATCGGACAAGCGTTCGCCTCAGCCTGAGTAAATACAAAACTTTACTTCGAAGAAATCTTTGCAATGAGTGATTTACGCAAGATTCAAAATTATTTTCATTTTTTTTTGCACATCTCGTAGAGCTAGATCACGCAATGATTTGTTACGTTTGTATGTAACACTTTAATCGTTAACAACGTCATTATTATTATTGTTATTATTATTATTGTTATTATTATTATTATTATTATTATTATAATGAATGTTTCATCGAGTCTATCTGTATTAACCTTCGAATACGTCCAGGTTTAGTGTTTTGAAATTATTCTTTTTATTTAAAGAAAGTTCATAACATGTCCAAACAGCAGCAGCGGCGGCGATACAAAAAACATTATTTTTAGTGATTCGATTCAGAATAATAGTCACGTTCGTGTATTCACGCGGTAAGATAAATAATGGCATTTCCTTCACGTCATCTGCGTGACGTCAATAAACTAAGCGAACGTTTCAGAACGTAAGGAAACTAAAAATGAAATAAAATAAATAATGATAAAGACATGTGTTGGAGAATATCACCGGCAACTTATCCTATTATGTTAATTTCTCTATCTGACTATTTATTTATTATTTAATAGACGTCGCCCTTTGTCTGAAAAATATCCACGATATTTGTTTAGCCTGTAAAGATTCCAAGTTATGGTATTCCTCAGTCTTCATCTGCGCGGTACAAAAAATCGTCAGTTTGGACAAAAAGAACAGAGTGCAAATAGGGGAGACAAAAGAATATTGAGTACATGAATGAATAGCTAGGCTAAAAGGAATCATAGGCAACAGGCTTAAAAAATGTAAACCATCGAGCTTGTTTGTGATAATGTTATACTCTAATATAATGTGACTGTCAGCTCTCTAAAACTTGGAAAAGAATGAACTCGACCGACGTATTAATTGCCCTTAATATAATTCAGTTTGGGCAAAACAAATTAACTGAAACATGGAAAATTACTGATACATTTTTCAGGTTTTCAGATTGGACTCGAGGTTATAATGATGTATTTGCGGGGGGAAAAAAATCTTTAGAAAAAAAGCTCTCTTTGTTAAAAGTAGTTTAACGCTTGCAAATACGCCGTGCTTTCTAATTTTTAAAACGGTTTACAGTTAGAGGTCTTATGATAACAATGTTCGGTCACGGTTCTCTTGTACGAATTCTTCATTATGCATAAGATATAATAGTTCATCAGGAGTATGATTAAGGATCAGCCTAAAAGAAGAGGATCTTATTAGCCTCAAAAATTACGTGTTCCTTAGGATTCGTGGGACGTATCCGTTTCTCTTACGAACAGAGCTGAAGCATTGCATGGTTTCGACCCGCTTATATAACCACTGACGTAATCATAGGTCTGACGTCGTCACCAGATAGGTGTAGATCCGGTCAGTTTTTATTGTATCAAGTACAGAACGCTAAAAGAACCTACAAATGATTTACTCAATAGGAATTAGAATAATGAGGCAAATGTAGTTTGACGTGAAAGAAACGACAGCAGCTAACCAGATGATATGAATGAAGTACAGAGGAAAGCGAGAGCGAGGTACTTTGAACAAGAAATTTGGAATAATTTGTCGAAGCAGAACTCTTTTGAGGACCGCCGATTAAACCTAAAACGCAACAAGCTGGGAAAGGACGAGAACATCGCGGTGAAATCATGGAATCAGGAACAATTGCTCATGTTGAGGAGAAATAAGAAACTGCATGAACTCTTGAATGGTTCACATGAACATTTTACTCAAAAAAGCAACCAGCTTATTCCACCTTCAACCCATATAAGTCTTCCATCGTTAGGCGCACAACAAAGACCTCGATCAACATCTTCAAGTGCCCAGGGGAGTACTGATTTTTCATCACGATCTAAGGAGCCAGCTCGACCGAGATCACACACTGAGCAGATTTTGTCAGCAAAAACAGAACATTCCGTCAGGAAACAGTCAGCTCAAGAAGAAATCAGCTTGCCCTCAGTTTCTGCAACGAAAGTTCGACGCACTACGCATTCCGCTTTTTCGCAAAATACCAGCTTATCAAGTAGTGAACCCTTTATGCAAAGAAAAACAAGCTGGACAAGACCATCGACACAAATTCATCGGAGGACTGACATCACTTCTTTATACGATTAAATTCGGTCCATGTTTTTATATCAAGGAGATTAAACGCTCCAGGAATCCGTCTGGTAGATGAACCTATATCAGCTCGAATGTTTTATGGTAAAGATTACTATCAGAGCAGTCATGAATGAAACGGAAAAACACAGATATCCTTTTAAGAGCGGAATGCAGGCTGAGATATTGGACCCTGTAAAAAATATTAATGAAACAATGAAGTAACATAATTATCATCATTAAGAGAAATAACTAAATCCCAGAAGAAGAGGAGAAACATATTTAAGAGCTGGAAAAAGCGAACTTCTGATCAATGTAGGACTTGCACTGCAACTTTAATCCTATTAAAAATTGATTAATGAATGAAAGAGACAAAATAGTTGATTATAAATGTCGACTAAAACGAAAGTTTTAGATCTTCAATGAGCTTGAATTATAAGAGTTAAGGCTACTTGGGCCTGATCATTTTACTTGTTAAGTAATATACTCCAGTCTTACGGACCATGGAGATACAACTCCATCCACGTTTACTAAGCTAATTCTGGTGATTGCAACAGTTAAACTAAACATTATTTCGTAAGTTCCGCTTATCATGATAATTTATTTGTTTATCTGTCGAGGCGCTTTTTTTCCTTGCTTTATTTGTTTTGTTTTGTTTTTTGTCCTAAGGTTTTCTTTTGTCAATTTTATTCTGCCTTCTGTTCTTCTTCGTCTTCTTCGTCATCCTCTCACTGGTTTGATTGCGTGAGAGGGCAACTGAACTGCGGAGTTTGCTCAAACTTTCAGCCTAAATTTTCCACGTTTATTCTATTCCAGGCTGATCTCCACTAGCCTTTTGTCAAACTTACTTCTTCTTGGTTAAAATACTACATCTAATAGTCGGTTTCCTTAAATCTTATGATCGTGAAATCGTATGATCGTGGTAAGAAAGCGAATGCATAATAGTCGTTTATATAGGAAGGGCCATACAAGTTTGCTTTATGTCTCCTTCCGAAATCTTTACGCTCGGAGAGTCCATCAGCAGAGGCTGCAGAAATCTATTCAATTTGGTTTATCACGGGCTCTTTCGTTCTTTGTCTTCCTACGGAACTAATATCTGTACTTTCCCTTGGCACTAGAGAATATGAAAATAAGTTTCTAGATTTATGCAACTTCCACAAAAAAGGAAAAAGACGTAGAATCCAACTTAATTAATTAATTTTTCAGCCGGTTTTCTTACTTCACCAACTACGCTTTAATTTGTGATATTGAAGCATTACCCATGTAACGACATGGCTGTTTCTGTTTTATATTTTCTTCTTGTAAGAACATTTAAATGAAAACAAACAAAAAAGCAATAAAAAATACCTAGTTTTGAAGAAGGAAGAACATTCTGAAAAACAATTGTGTTGATAACATGCCATTAACCGACATGATAACTCAAATTTGAACTTAAATCTCGATGTAGGTTCTACTATGCTGTTCCGACAGAAGCCCTCCAACAATCTGATTTAGCAGCTTTATTTACAGTTCAATTTCAGTGAACAAGATGTTTCCGGAAACGTTTGGTAGGAAGGTTTTCAAACTTTTATAATATTTTGTTCAAGCTTTTAATCCTCTCATTTAATTAACACGAGAAGACTTCCAGAGTTTTGTTTCAATCAAATGGAAGTCACTTATTTGCATGTTCAATTTGTCTGTAAAGGAAATAAGCGCAAATTAATTAGTTCGAAGCGATTCCACAGAGGTCGAAAATCGCAACTACTGCAAAATAGTGCTTGGTTGAGTCATGAACCTTATGCGTATGTACATCCTTTCAAAGCAATGATAATCCTGTCACTTTATCTTCTCCCGTCGGAGGTATCCCAAATTCATCAGCAGTTAAACTCCTATCATTCACGCAATTATCCGCGTACGGCTTGACCCAATTTATATCTTTCTACAACAAATAAATAGAGGATATTTAAATAGATGCATAATCATCATAATAATAATAATATTAATAATAATGGTATTGGTATTAAAAGCCTCTCTGCGTTCTATTTAGCGCATAAAAATTTTAATGATAAAAGTAGTAAGAAAGCACCCCCATGCCTGTCTTGTGTCTTGCGGTTTTGTGCACTTTTAGGTGTCAAGCGTGAGATCGAGACAGGTTTTGGAGTGAGGATTGTTGAAGGCGTACACAAAGCTGTGAATTACTCAGACTACCTGTCCTGTGAGGTTTTGATACTAAATCAATTAAACGATTCGCTAGGATTTATATCTAAAGCGTGATAATTAATACACGTATAGTCTCTCTGTGATTATAATTACCTAAATATGAAGTAGTAGATATACGTTACGTTGACAAAATAAAAATAATCTGCGTTGAACGTGACCTACATAGCGGAAGAAAGCAACCCCTATTAAATATCGGCGGGCTAGTTCCTCGAAAACTGAAAAGGAAAAGCACAGAACTGGTCTTCTAACATATCCGCATTGCTTGTATTTCCTGGTTTCTTCGAGTGAAGATGCCCGCCGCTTGAACGAGTTTTGAAACCGCATTTGAAATCATGTTGGAAACATGGTATATTTTCGAGAGCTAAATATGGCTGATTGACACCGACACATTTTTTTTGTTTTATGTTCAGGAGAATTCAGAAACAAAAAAAAGCTATCAATCATTTTGTTTTATCTAATGCCAGCATGAAACAAGGAGATCATCGAAGACGAGATTATAGTTTATATTCTCTTGCCGAATACGAAAAGAAAAGTTCCTGTAGGATGCATGACACTTTTAGATAAACGTATTAAAAATACAGCCATAAAATTTAAAATCGAAGATTCCAGATGTTTCCATATAGCTTCCCTCATGAATTGAGAGTAAATTAACTTGGCCTTCTTTTGATTAAATGCAAGGCCATGCAATACGTAATACTGTAAATTTCTAAATTTAAGGCCCTTTAAGTTCTTACCACAAATGAACACCATTCGCTTCAAACCTGTGCCTAAGTCCTCCTCCCCTAGAGGTCGATCGGCCCACAAACCATAATCTCCAAACGTTAGCCGGGTTGATATTTAAACCAATGGTTTTCGCACATAGTCATAAAGTATGTACGTATGTGTAAGCATGTTCACATGGCAACCCCTCGACATGTTACTTCCTGAAACATTCAGATCAGTCGGTCATCCAAGTGTAAAAGGAGTTTTCACGTACAGACTTTACATCACCCTGTCGCGCGTGCAAATACACACGCTCGGTCTTTCCCATAAAGATTTAAACACCTTATCTAACAAAAACATGAATTCTTATCACAGCGTAATCGGCTTTTCAGTAAAATTGAAAGACGCCGATGTCTTCTACAACAGTGGGCAGTTGAAAAAACGTGTTCCTTAGGTCATCCCCTAACATGCACGTTTTTTTGCTTTAATCTGGCGCAGCTTAGAGCATTAAACCGTGGAATAAAAGAAAAGAATCACTCAGTCGTTAAAGCATCAGATTTCATGGCATGATTTCTTTTCAATTGCGCCATGATAATCGAACAATGCGCACAAATCAACGATTCTGTGATTCGCGCATTTAACAATAAATGTTTGACTGAGTGACAAAGTCTTTCTATTTTAATCGTAATTATTTCCTTTGATCAAACACCATGTCGTGACCTCTGCATTAAGACTGACATCCATGTGAAGTTCCATCACTTCGCAACTGATTTCACAGCAAACACATCCGTGAATTTGATACCGGCACAAGTTCCGTGGAAGCTTAGACGTTGTAGTTTTAAAGGAGCAATGAGGACTGTAAGGAAGGCCACTCCAATTCATCAGTCTTCCCAACTCGAAGAACTACCAAATCCTAATATTATGCTACCGAGACGATCGTCATCTTCATCGCATCTACCTTCATTGCGTGAGGGATCTTCGGATTGTAACGTGCCGTCAAGAATTACAACACCTCATGCCTTTTCAGACACTGAACAGGGAAAAACCGAAATAATAGCACTGGTGGGATTGCCTTCACATCCAAGACGAGGGAAGTTGTTCAAATCGGCCTTAGAGAAAAGAAGCTCCCACGAAAACTCTTGGCTACCAAATCTTATTAAAAGAGACTTGAAAGAGAATGTCCAACTACTGCCGGCACCTTCATCTGAATGGGTAGAGAGAGTACATCGCCCACAACACTACGAACTTACTAGAACAATTTCACATCCACTCATTTTTAACGATGGAAAATTTTCTCTCGTCACAAAAATACAAAACGATACATGCTCTAACAGTTTGCCTCAACTCAACAACGGAGAGACTCCACGCAAAGGAACCGAAGAAAAACATTCAGCTGACCTCAGAAGACATATCGAAAAAGAGGAGTTGGACTATGATTTATTCACGACTAAAGCTGTAATTTTGGAGCGCTTTTTAAACAGTCAGAGTTAGGTATATACACATATGTATATATGTGTATGATCGGTAAAGTATAAATTATTAAGGACACGAAATTAGCCTGGTTGTCATTTATTTCAAGTGACAACAAATAATTCCGGGGTTAGAAGACAAGATCGCGACTGAAAGTTAAAGAATTATAAACTAAAGAAAAAGAAAGACTGCAAGGAAGGCTTTACACGCGTTAAGGTATTTAATATTTTGCTATCGATAAGATAATACTTGATCTATTAAAAAAGGGTGGTTTATAGTTATAAATTAAATAGCTCAATTCTCTTATTGAAAATGATTTGACATGATGTAAAATATTAAAGTGTGAAAGTATTTGTATGATTTGAAATTGAAGTGAGAAAGCTATTCTTAAATATTGGGATGGATATTCTAATAAATGTTCAGAACTATGAAAATATTTTGTTTTGTTGTTAACTTAAAACCTATTGGGTTTTCCTATTTTGTCGGTTCGCGTTTGTCCATATATTCGAGTCAAATCAAAGTTTTTTATAGGGTTAGCTTTGGTTTAGATGGAAACCGGTTGGTTCTCGGAATAAGGCAATTTTAGAAAGATACCGTTCAGATGGATCAAACAAACAAACAAACAAAAAAAACAGAAAAGGAAACAACACTTTAAAGTTCAAATGGATCTCGACGCTGTCTAAAGTTCGCTTTTAATTGATATTTATTGAACCACTGTCTAATTTGGAAAACGAGTGATCCATTTCGTGACCTTGCAGTCACGTTCATGAAAGATGGAAAATTATTTTTAACTCGGGGGGGTTTAAATTAAAATTCTTATAGTGTGTCTCTTTCATTTCATCAATACTCATCAAAAGAATATATCAATCGTAACGAGTATCTACGGGTATTTTAAAGGAATTCGTTATCTGGAGTGACAGAATGTCGGACATTTGTGTCATCTATCATTTTGCATATTTTGGAGTTGAAATAAATCAGCGCTAGACAAAGTCTTTAACTGACGGGCTTGTTTTGCTTTCAACAGTTACGTGTTATCTACCGACCTTTAGGTCTCGATAATTCGTAGATAGTAGTAGATTACCTGCAACTTTGCACGTTTTTCGGTTGAGTACGTGCTCCAGTTTTCGTTCTAGCAAGGCAAAGGTCATCTCATAACAATGCCGGCATAGCAAATTGTATATCTGTGAATTTCTCTCCAAAACAATTATTTGTTAAACAAACAAATGTCTGGTTTCGTTCACCACAAAGGGTTGCCCGCATTCCATAAAGTTAAGTGTGATAAGAAAATTTTTAATTGGACCCGTTGTTTAACTTAGTGTCTTATCTTATCTAGCTTTAAATTAAGACCATATCGCTTCTGAGTTTTTTTTTCTTTCTTTCGTCCATGTTTGGTGTCTCTTAAACGTTTGAAGGAATTTCAAACAATTATCAGTATTTTTTAATTCACATTATTTTCATTTTTATTGGCTTAAAGGTTTTCACGATTTCTAGTCATTATCCGTTCCTTAAATCCAATCAAACAATATAAGAAACGAAACAAGAAGGAATAAAATCAATTTCCTTCCGATCCAAGGCACTGAATCAATCTTCTGCTTTTTTTAGTTTTGTACAGATCGAATCAGTAGCCGGTGCACGACGCTATTTATTTATCTTTATGTGTAAATGATTAAGAAATTAGGAAATTGGACCCAAAAGTCGGAACTAACATGAACATTTTGAGGTTATTCTTTAGCACGGCAGTTGTCCTGACTCATCATTTTGAATGCGTGGTTGACGTCAGTCAGTAACATAATCGTGAATCCCCGACCCACTTGTGGTTGCTCAAATGGCGATATTTTAAAATGGTCGAAGAATTTTAAATGAATTTTTTTTTATCAGAGTAAGGTTAGAGTGTTTGTGGATATAAATACGATAAAATTATTTATGAAGTACTTCAAAAGGAGTTTTTAATTTACTCAGGTCAAATTCATAACACTTTGCGATGGTCGAGGCACCTGCTGAGCGTTAAATTAATACTTCATTTTCTACTCCACTGTTTAATTATAAGACATAACAAAAGCAACATTTTAATCATGCTTTTTAGCACCGGCATATTTTCCCCTTTTCTTTAAAAACCGTATCTCTTTCTCTCTCTGTCTAATATGCTCGCTTCATGATCATGAGCCATTTCGAAATATATGCATACAAATCAAATTTCTGTCCTTCAAAAATCAAGATACCATGACAGCGTTTACCACAAGTTTCCTTAATTTTGAGTGTATTAAGTTATATCATGGTTATCATTTTTACGAGGAAATAGTTTATCAGAGTGGTCGAGATCTTATGGAAAAAATAAACAGAATTAAGCGTTTTTCCCGGTAGCAGAAGTGGAATCATGTTTGATCTTATTAAAAGAAAGATTCAGTTCATTGTTATTTTAAAATTACCTTGTCGTGTCAGCATGTGAGCATTTCGCAATTGTTTCATTTAACTGTCGTCCTACGCAACAAAGAGACCACTTTTATACGGTCACGATCGGTCAATGATATTGCCAACAAGCGTAAGATGGACTTAAGCTTCGGTTGCTTTGCTAGAAGTGGCCAAATTGATAGATTTAGAAGTATCTACCTCTTTTGAAATAGTATCAGTGATAATAATAATGATAGTTTTTATGATAATAGTAAAATACATCTAAAGTGCTTCCTTTGTTTTTATTGTCATCTTCTCACTGAATGACGATCTTTTCTAAAATATTCACTTAAAGAAAAGAATTATGATCATTTGCGTGTACGAGATCGTTCGCTGACTTGCGTTATTTCCTTTCTCCGGAAAGAGAGGTACAACCTAATGATTCTTTCCGAGTCAGAATAATACTAAATGTTACATTTATCCCTTGTCATGAGCAGTTCCGTATACACTATTTTCCACATAAAGCAAAACTTAATATATCCATGAGCTATTTTCCGACACCATGTACGCTTGAAGCTTCCAAGGCCGGCATTTTCGGCATCTTGGTTTGAATCGTATGAACTGGAAAACAGAGGAGAGCTATCCGTGTGCTCAAATCCCCAGTTTTTGAACCAAACAAAAAGTAAGTAAGATTATCAAGGAAACAAAATCGTCTAAAACTAACTGAACTTTCGTTCATTGTTCATCTATGGCTGAAAAGGCAAATCATGAATATTGCATGTGCGAGAAAAAAAACCAAACAAATGAATACTATCTAGGGAAAACATATGTATACTAAATAATGTACGTAAAGAACAGAAACATGCTGTAGGGTATGTGGAAAACATACTAAGAGGTCTTCGTCATTGTAGATGAAGGCCGGTTGCATGCATATCGCTTTGAGAAGCATGAATACAATACACCTGGCTCCACCTATCATCTCATTCACGCTATTGAAGCTATGGTTTATTGATTCTCTATCATACTTTCAATGTAAATATTAGCTGACAACAATTTCTTCGATGGATAACATACTTTCTTGATCCGCCAGCAGAACATTTTATCTTTCCTCTCTTTCCATTAGTAGACACCTGCTTCTCCAGCAGTTACAGTCTATCAAAAATATTCTCCAAATTCGATAAAAAGAAAACAACGCGTCTTAATCTATTTATATCTTAAGTTACTTTAGTGACATGTCTACAAAAGAAGCAACATTAACATTCAACATTTACGGCCCAGGTTGTCATGCTCTACAAGATGTTCATGTCTAGAGAGTGCGCTGTTGTTAAAATGATCTGGGATTCCTCAATGAATCATTCGAAGCACTCAAAGTTCCGCACATGATTTCTCCAGATTACATGTTTTTCGAAAGAACCGATAAAATCGACACATCTTTTTTAATGGCCGCAGCTAGCTAGCACTTGACGTACTTGAGCTGTCTATGGAGCTCTTTTGGCAGCAGTTAGCTCCTTTTATTGGTAAGATTTTCCAACTTTTTCTAAGTTGTGTTCATAAAGTCGCTCTCTATTTACTATCGAAAAAAACAAAACAAAACAGATAAAAAAAACATAGTCTCATAAATCATTCACTCTTTCTCAATCTCTAACGCCGTCCTCGTGTCTACTTATCTTCGAATTTCATATGTTAAAATTTTAACCGGTTTACTTCCTACTTGGCATGCAGTTTGTAAGACTGCTAAACTGCTTTTGCCTTTCACAATGGAAAACTATCTTTAGAGCGCTTACAAACATTATTATCTACCACAAGCTTTAAGGATACTTGGAGGAGTGTCTTTGGATACAAATCGTAGTCGCCCTCGAGTTATTTGCGGGTGATATGCAATTAAAACTCTCCTAAAACCGCAGTACTTCCTATTATTTCTAATGGCATCAAAAACGATTACAAAAGGGAAGCATTTATATCATAAAAACTGCGAAACAATCTGAAATGAAAGACAATATAAAAACGACCTTGACAAGACAATTTTTTTTGTTTTGGTTTGTTTTTTTTGAAAGGCAAGTTCAAGGCTAAAATGTTTGAGATATTAAACTTTATCGATTGCCAAGATATAATAACGGGGTATCCTAGCAACAGGCGTTGGTGAATGACGTGTGCAAGCAAACCAACACAGTCAAATACCTTTCATTCAGGAACACCTTCGAGTAAGTAGCTTTGTGTTAAAAATTGCGACGTATCTACATCCTCCTATGAAGAAAAAATGAAAGCTCTGTAAAGCCATCAAGTTTGCTTTATGAATTCACTCGTTTTAAAGAAAGAATTCTAGTTTTGAGAAATTATGAATCGTGTACGTGAAGGTAGTTACATACAGTCGGTCATATCAAACAATGAATCCAAGGTGATCCACTAATTTTCATTGTTCTACTTAATTTTAATTGGTTTGATAGTTTTCAATTACATCGTCGCGTCAATGCTTGTCTACTTGTCTACAAAAAGACACGATCACGTCTTTCCAGTGGCTTAAAGTGATGTACAATGATCATGACATATGTTTTATTTATTGTTTCACTATTCCAAAACTTTCGCAAGTCATGATCAGAACAAGAGGAAACGCAAAATATGAGACAGTAGTGACTGTAATAGGTGAAAAACAAGTAACGAAAAAGGAGCAACAAAATGGCCGGATTTAACGATCCAAACTTCTGCCAGCCTATGACCTTTAAACTGAATTTTACCTTCGTTTTGTTTTGTTTTATTTTTAGTATCAGAGAGGAGATGGATGATTAACGCATACATGCATACAATGCCAGGTCAAATCAGGAAGAAAAATTCCGACAAATGAAAATATAAAAGAAAAAAATCATTCCTCGGTTTGTTTGTCAGTCTATTACTATAAGTAACCGTTAATCTTTATTCCGTTGTTGTTCTTATCATTATTGTTATGATCATGAGTATTATCATTATTAATATTTTGATTATAATTATTAGCACATTATCATCATCATTATTATTATCATCATTATCATTATTGTTGCTTTCGAGCATCTAGGATGGTTTGTTTGCTGTTTCATTTTCCCAACTTTTCTTAGTCTACCGGAACAAACGAAATATATATAAAGAGATTACGTATGAAAACTCGAGAGGAAATTCCAAGGCTATCGCTTGATAGTCGGGCAAATGCCTTGTAACTTGCATTTTATTTTGATGGCATTCCTTGATAATTTATTTTCTCGATTATTATTATTTTTCGATTATTTATTCAGTGTCTTAGTATAAGCGAATGAAAAAAAATTTTCACGTTATGTGGATTCAGATATACTTTTCACGAGTAAAAGTGAACATGAATGTAGAGAACTAGATTAAAATGACTCTGAGAGCTCAATGTTCGCGGGGAGAGACATAAGGAAAGAGGTCTTTTGTGGCTCCTTCAAAATGACAGAAGTGCACCCCTCAAGCGCCACCCACGACTTTTCCCAAAGCAGCGTTTTGAACAACAGCCAAAAAGAACATTGTCGGCATCTCATTCACGACACTTTCATGGCTGTATTCAAAAGCATAAAAAAATCTTTATTTCGTTCGATTTGAGGTTTCGGCTTTCCTTTTTTTATAATTTTTCTAAACCAATTTTGTGGCTGCCCCAGGAGACTGAACTTAAATCCAATTGGAGGAATTTTTTTTATGACCTCAGGTTAGGAGAACGAAACGAAAGATTAATTTATATGATAGCATCACGTCCACTTTTGCGATCAACTCTTACTTACGAAACAGTTTTTCTTTTGTACGTTCCTTTCGCCAGCATGTCATTATTAACCCATTTTAACCTATTAATAAATTTCCTCCCATGCATTTAGCAAGATGAAATAAGGCTAAGAATCCTAATATCTTTGACAGCGATGTCCTGTGTTCTCATACATTTGCATATTTGATCGCGGAGTACATGATTGGTGCATGACCTGATCACGTGCACCAGGAAGCAATTGATATCCGGTGCTGGATTACGTTTCGCCAGAGGGAACGGAACATACAATATATCAACAAATTGAATATATCGAGCAGATAACTCACAAGATTTTTACGCCGCGTTTTCGGCAGCCTTTAAAGATTGATCATCTGTCAGAACCTTCGGTAAGTTTGGGATTGGTGCCTATATTGCGTAGCATGTAAGATATTTGGCGTTCAAAACACCAGCGTAACACAGTAATGGTTTATAAACACGCATGAATGATCGTCGGAGGAGGGCAACAAGAAAATCTTAGTCTCCCGTAATTATTTAAATTTCAAACCTTCCGATTTTGCGACTAAGCAACGTTAAGCGAATAACAAAGAACTTGTTTGTGAGTTAAGAGAGAAATTTGGTTTACGTGTAACAAGGATCTCTGTATACTGCTGGAATCAGCAACGTCGGAAGCGTTGCTAGTGACAGCAAGATAGTAGACTTTGAGCCCGCTCATCGCACGGTGGTCGCCTTTAATCTACGATTCTTATGTGAAATCGTGGCTCAGACTTAGCATTCCGCCATCAAGTGTAACATTTACGGACGTTTTTGTGCTATAACTAACTTTATTGCATCGTTTGATGCTCACATACTTGTTACTGTCGTTTATGGCGGAATGCGGAAAGAGTCTTCTATCAAAACAGCAGATGATATTGGTTTAAGGATCTTGAAAAATCGAGCAAAACGGTTCTCTCGATATCGTGACTAACAATCCCAGGCGAAAGGAAAGAGTATAAAAGAAATGATAATCCCAGGCGAAAGGAAAGAGAGTAATCGAAATAGTTTTGACAAAAATTTCCGGCGTTTTGAGCAGCTACGTCCTTTATCAGGCACTTAGAAACAGGTGTATTAGCCACCACAGTAAGTGTTTGTCCTCACCGGAGGAGTACATTAAGTACCGTCAAAGAACGAGCTCAAAATCTTACGCCGTTCAATTCGCAATCCTTTCTCCATGTTTCCAACCACTACTAATTTTCAGGTTATTTTAAGAGAACTAAACTGCGATGAAAGCATAATCCTAAAGTCAGGAAATTTTACATTCATGCTTGAACAACTTATGAAAAAGTGGTTCGAAAGCTGTTTTGAACGAGAAGTCATTGAAAGACTTTATAAGAAAGCGAGGGTCGCTTCTCAGGAACTTCTCGTCTAAAAATAAAAACAACGGAAAAAAATATCACAAGGATTTTTATGTACATAGAAGCCCATTCACTCAAAATATTCTGGAAATTTTTAAAGAAAACCTAACACTACAAGTAGCTTGGGTTTAAGTTCAGTCTAAAAGACTTCGTACAATGCATTTGCAGCTGGAAATCGGTATTCATGAACTTATTTCCTTTACGTGATAGCTGAATGAGGAGGGAAAATAGGAAGCGTTCTTAATATTAAAAAAATATTATGTTTTCGTCGGTACCTCTTTTTAGATAAAGTAGCACAGCTGATGACATATATTCATTATCAACACTCGAGTAACTGTCTGTAAATTTGGAACTTGTGCTGAGGCACCGCGGGGTGCTCTCATCTCTTGAGACTTGGCTCCTTAGGATGAATTAAACTTTTGCCCCGTGAAAAAAAAAACAGAGAAGATGCAACTGGTAAAATGGTTCAATCAATCTTTGTTAAATTATTGCTTGTTTTGGTCCCACTAGCAATTTCGCATAGGGGTGTCAGTGTTTCAGACCACGTGCCTTTGTTTAATCGAAGCATGCTATTTTGATGCGAAACGTGTTTTGAGGAAAATATTCCATGTATTTCACCAAGTGAAAGAAGAAGTTCATTTCATTCATTTACTTAGCTATTGAATCAAGCACAGAAACCACTATTAAGGTTTTCTTTTTAAAACACTAGACATAAAGGATGTCTGACCTGCGAATTAACTAGCTCGTTTATGCTCTTACCAACCATTGGCTAGCGAGAGGAAAGCATACGTAAAGAAAATACATATTTATACATTCCAGTTATCATGCGCGTAAAGCAGAAAGTGACGACGATAGATGTAAAACTTTATTTTAAAAATCCCGGCTCCTTTTGGGACTGAATAATTGGGATGATATGCTTTGTTCTGTAACCCTGCCTGCAATTACCAGTGAAAGAATGGACTTTGGAACTCTTGTAATAACAAGACAATAGGAAACAAGGTCAGGTTCGAAATAAAAAACGTTCCCACTTGTGTCATTGTGCTCACTTGAAGACTGTCTATAAAAATTAAAATTTAAGCCAAAGCAAATTTGAGGCCTGACGTAGTAAGAAAATAGATAATGCTAAATAGTGCAAAACACCTAAAGCTATCTTTAGAGTTAAGCCATGCGTAGTTCATTGGCATACGCGTGAAACACTCCAGGTGCACGTGAGCCACTGAGTCGATCCATAAGGCGAGACACTTGATAGCTCAAGATTAATTACCATAGCAGTTCAACTTTGATTGACAAACTTTCAGCATCTCTCTGTTGCTTCCTGAGTGTTAATGATATTTACTTACAAAACTTATCAGCGAAATGATATCACGCCATCACGCCAACTAAAACGGTTCATGGGAAAAGAAACCCAGATCTCTGCGTTACCCTTGCTGTTAACGTTTAAATTATCATCAATTATTCAATTCTCTCCCTGGATTTACTAAGGTAAGAGAAACGTTCTAGAAAAAAGGCACTTAACTAATTGTTCGATTCATCTAGAATAAATTTGATTTCACCCGGCTATTATCTTAAGCAAAGCCAGTGGCAGGGATGTAGGCCGTTTTCCAGTAGTTCATTTTCTATCTAAAAATATCATTCAATTCCTCTTAGTTTTACCACCAAAGGTCGTCATGTGTGAAGTTATTGATCAGTATAAGACACACGTTCTGGGCAGGTAAATCAAGCACATCATTGTTATAACGAATAAAAGGATTCACTTCTCTCTGCTAACAAAGCTTCATAAAAAGGATCCATAACATGTTCATTAATTACAAGGCTGTTTATTAGGAGGTATTTTGTGTTCTTTCTTTAATTGAATTGTGTAAATTAACGTATAAGTAAACTCGCCGGCCGGTCGGGTAGAATCAGGCAGACCACAAAGAACAAAAGGCCAATAGAGGAATTTGTTTGCTATGCAGAAATTATTCGAACCACTTAACTTGATGAGCTGTCAGCAATGAGCACGAGAGCACGGAAACATTTTTTCTTTAATAAAATGACTCAAATTCATAACACGAAAATTGCCAGTTTAGCATTGTTATAATAGAGAAAAACATAAACTTAGGGCACAGAATCGAGTCATCTTGGAGTCATCTTAGGATTAAAACTTGGGGTGAATCTACTTTCTGTGAACCGGAACTTAGAATTATACTACTTAAATGACAATGTCATTTATTTACTGAGTGGAAGCTATTTTACAGAGCAGTAATCGATATGAGTTACATTCCTGAATGTTCTCATTGCCGGCCGTTGACCATGTTTAGGTTTAAAGAATTACATAACAAACTGTATTTCAATTCGTTTGACTATAGGTGATGCGCTTAGCCAGGAAAGGATTACGGAAACATTTCCAGCTCTGCTCACAATGAAGGAAATATCGATGAAGAAGTCAGACAAAAGCCTCCTACCATTACGAGGCAAAATATCTCCTCCAACGATTTTAAACTGCGACAACCATGCCAATGAACAACCATACCTCGATAAGGAAACCGCTAATGATATTTCCAAAAGAGAAAGGATGTTTTCTGTATCTTCCAGGAGTGCCTGTAGTTCCAAACATGACTCTAGTTTGTCTGAAGTGAGATCCATGACTCCTCCATTTACACCACCGACGAACAATACAAATGGGGATCAAGGGTTCCTTGTAAGACGACCTTCGGAACATTTTCTTGAAGTGCTAGGAGAACATAAATCGAGGGAAACACTGCCTAAGGTATTGTCAGCCTCGTGTCTTCCTCCATTGCGAAATGCGTCTCAAGGAGAAGACACTATCAAGAAGAATCTTAAAGATCTGAAGGGAACTAATGGTGTAATGAATAATAATTACGATGGAACCTTTTCCCGTCCAGTTGCACCTGATAACAACACATTGCTTCTTGGACCTGGAGGTAGGAGAAGGATGTCAACACCAATTGGCGTTGAGAAAAAACATCTTCGCAAAACGAATTCTTTGCCTTTAATCAAAACTGGCTTTGCACTTACAACGGGAACAGACTGTATAAACGATTCCGCCTTCCACAAGCACACAAAGTCCGCGTTCACAAGCCAGGAAAACAAAATAGACGAATGCGTCGACCACATTCAAAATGTAAAGATCGATGAGTATTTAGACGAAGAATTGTGCGACGAAGACGGAATGATCGATCAGAACGATGATGAGGAGACATTCGAAAAATTCTCAATGATATGCCATTGGCTGAAAGACTGCGAAAAAGCTAAAATCACTTAGCAGCTGGATTCAAACAGACATCCAGGAAATGTCTCTGTAAATATTCGCTTTGGTAGTCTTTGCAGACCTTGCATGCATGTTGCGCGCAAGTTATCAGCTCTCTGTTTGACTTTATTGATCATTTATCAAACCAGCTGTTGTTCCTGGGACGAAAAGCTTTTAACCGGTACTTGGTTCTTTTGATACATACTGATGATAAAAAGTCTGCTGGAGGAAAGCCAACCTTATAAGCTGCGAATTGTTTGGTTTAGTTGAACTTTAAAACTGGCTACAACACTATTTGGATTGTTCGTTTAAATCGAAAACTTAAGAAATTATCTGAATTTTTTGGTTGATTAACAAACAAGACGAAAAACGAAGTACACATGGGCGTTTCAGCGATACAGGAACAAGCATTGCCAGTCGCTAGCTTTCTTTGAACTATTTTTAAGAAGGAAAATAATCTATATTCCCCGCTATCGATTTATTTCTTATCGTTTCAGTATCATGAAGTTTCTATGCCATAACGATCAATCAATCGATATGATGACTGAGCATTCTTCAGGATTAAATAGTATCACTTTAATCATCGCCTATGTAAGGCAACAAAGAAAAACGAAAACAGTTGCAGCCAATAGTTATTTATTCACGGTCTTTTGGAAATCATCCGCTTCACGCGTGATTCTTTACTGACCCGTAATGTCCTCTGCATTCCTCCAAATCCGGAGCGGATCTGAGAAATCAAGACGTCTTCCCCGACTGGCGCGGGGTCCTATAAATAATTGTCCATAGCTGCGAAATGAGAGTGTATATAGCGAACTAATGAAGAGCTAAATTGATACAATTAACTGCCAAATTCTAAAATCCCTCAAAAGTTCTTTATCAAAACACCATGTGTTTTTCATTGTCTATGGTGTCATTCTAATTTATACAGTGCCTGATTGTACCATAATTAGACTCTGAGTTAGGCCTCCTTGAAAGTTTTATTCGCGCTCAGGAAAGCGGCTTGTATTTGTGTAAGGGCTTAGCTTCCTTGAAATTTAATTTATTTGGTCTGAGTATCTGGGTGGTATTTACTTTGTATTTTGTGAAGATGATACTCAAAATCCTTGTTATGACATATGAAGAGTCAAGTGGGTTGTCGGTTTGGGAATTTGTTTCAAAAAACGATGTGTGATTTATATATTTCATTTCATAATAATATGAAAATGTTTGAGGCAAAACTTGAAAGAATAAAATTCTTAAAAGTCAATGAGCGTTGTTTAGCGCTATTAATACATGCTCACTTTCCATCCCATATTGAAGGCATGAACACTTTGTGCACTGGCGGTCTGTCAAAGGCATGGCAGGGAGGGAGTTCGTTACTCGACTAACAACCCTTATAAACAAAATGTGTAATCTGTTAGTATATTGATCTCTGTATAACATTGCTGCATTGCACTGGAACGCTGAAAAGCAAGTTTAGAATTAGACATCGAGTCAGAGCTGCAGGCATTCCAATCTTAAGAACTCGAAAAAACCAGAGCGAGAAAGCAAGTAATCTCCATGGCTTAATGGAAAGAGTTGTATGGATAAAAACGTTAATTGAAACAATAATCCTCATCCATCTTCCTTCTTAAAAATTATTCTTGATTGGACAATTGAGATCAAAATTTGTCATCTTTCTTGATCTTGATTTATTAGATGTCGTGAGCGCTGGTTCGATGGTGAAGCATGGCACGCTTAACTTCAAAATGACTTTGAACCATCTTTTTATAAAAGGATAGTTTTTGAGTTTGAACACCGTGCTATCAACAGCTTGAGGGAAGAGATAGAATGAACGGAGGCGATTTAATCCTTCATTAAGAGAATGTCACAACTTTGGTTAGTCCTGTGATGCAGTAAATCTGTTTACCCTCCCTTTCAATCACAGAAACATTCTCGGAGGACAGATTTGAGAGAAGCGTGGTTTGTGAACGAAAAAGCGGTAACAGAACAGCAATTTCACAAAAAGGCCATTTAAACAGCCTGTGAGGGTCCATCATTTATTTACGAAAGACAGAATGCTTCATTGACTATGAAAGTCGATAAGGCGTTGTATAGTTACCAGCCCCTACACGATCTACCTGATCTTGACGTCACCTCAAGTTCTCGGCCTATCCATGTATTGGAAGAAAAAGTTAACAACGTATATCAATTTTGAATGTGTTCAGTTCTAGAGCACGTAAGTAGAATGATCTCATTTGGAAGAAGAAAGTATTGCACTAGAAGTGCAGTCTCCGTCGATGCCTTTGCTTCGTTGTGTTGCTCAACAAGAGCAGAAAACGGCCAAGCAGTATAGTGCAGAATGTACTACGGTTACATTTCTTTAAAGTGTGTTAGGTGATTGGATTCAACGAATGTATTTGTTTCCAGTGTCTTGTGTAACAAATTTAAGCTTGAATCAGCACTGGAACATAGAATGGATAAAAACTGCGTGGTCATGAAGATCCGCATGTACTTTTTTAAAATTAAATCTGTAGATTGAAATACAATGCTACCGGAAACGTTTGAGTATTTGAAAGGAGGATTTTAGAAAGTAATACAAATCACTTTTTCCAGAGACTTATTCTCTGCTTTGATAGCTGGACAAATACAGTTCCTGTGCTCAGATTATCCGAGGTATTGTGAGCTTCTTTATTTCGTTTCAAACATAGCATGATGACAGATTTTTCAGAAAGAACAATAACGTTAGACTAAGATGACAAAGGTATTATTCATCATATAGATACTACGTAGCTGATTAACATATAATTTTTTTTCCTTAGTAAACACGCTTGTGTTTGATTGGGGGCTGTGCAGCAACATTCCAAGCTACTGAAGTGTGTGAATCCACGGTTAAGTGGCTTCGAGGTGGGTAACACGGCTCAGATCTAGAGGTGAAGCTGAAATAAAAATAAACTGCCTAAGTGAGAGGTACAGTTTACCACGGGCTGTAACAACAAATCTGCAACGACAGGCTGCCCTTACCTTATCTACTACAGCGACAACCATTAACACTGATATGTCAATGCTCAACGAATAAAATTTTTTTGTAAAAATTGCATATCGCAGCAAAATAATATAAGTTGAAAAGAAATGCAAAATAACCGCGCCACAATTTCTTTCAGGCTAAAAGAAATAACGTTGACATCAAAAGTAGGAGATGATAAATGACTTTTTAACATCAAACCCTAAGCTAATTAAGCAGATCAGGGGACTGCAGATTGCGTGCGTATGAGCTAAAAAAAATTCAAGGACAAAAGCATCTGTGAGATTAAGAGAAAATATGTTGCCAAGAGAGGATACTTAATCCGTCTTAGTTGCAAAGAAAAAGAAAAGAATACCATTACAGTCAGAGTACCCAATCTTGCTGCAGGATTGTACTTGAAAATAATGATAATAAATAAATGTGCAAAATAAGATTTCAGCTCCTATTTTGCCTTCTGAATTTAGTGAAGAAGAGGTTCTGCTCCGCCAAGTGTGTCTGGCGCTGAACCGGATTATTCTGTCTCATATCAATCATCCAAAAGGGTCCATAGTGCCAGCCAACCCTTTGTCCCCCGTTTTAAAAAAAGATACATAATACCGTGTATTTTTGTGTATAAGATGCAAACGACTGGCTCATTCGTAAGCGTTCGTCGAGGCATTAAGCTCGCGGAAACACAGCTTGAACTTTTCATGTGCTTCATGTCTCGATGAACGCACAGCCGACACATTATGCAATTATTAAGATCATTTTCAATGCGGTAGAGTAAACATTTACAACGCTTTCCAAACAATTTTGTGTTTTCCAAAATGGAGTTTTCCGCTAAAAATGGCTTATTTAGGAGTAAAATTTAGTGTCAATTCTGCAAAAATACGTCGAGTTACAACAACTTTTTTTTTTATAGACCCAAACGAAGGGTGACTTCAAAGAAGCACTACCTAGGCAGAAAGCACGGTCGGTGGAAAAGTTCCTCTGATATAATTAAACTTCTGATACAACCGTACTTGTCATCAGCAGTACACAAGGGAATGTGAAGGACGCTCACGCCTCTGAATTTGAAGAACGGATCTAATAGCTATGTTACAATTCAGCTTTTAGTTGGTAGTTTAAAATAACGAAACCAAAACCAAAAATAACTGAAATCTTCGTGCCCTGGACTTATTTAGATCTAATATTAACGTCAGTAAGCCAGTTTTTGATCATTTGTCTCGCCAGGGCGGAATCTTTACCGCGCTGAGAATCAAAGCTGTCCGCTAGCTCTAGATTTTGACGACAAAGTTTTGCGTTCCATTCCAGAGGTCTTTGCGCAAAAGAGTCGATGGGATGGGGACCGCGGCTCTTATAAATATGAGGGTTACTAATCGACGTGACATATGTCGTGACAGAATCCCAAAGGCTTGACATTGGAGAATTGAGACCCAAGAGACCCTCAACATTGTTTCTTACTTCCTTTTCCCCTTCTACGTCATTTTTGTTGCATTCTTCGTCATTAGAGTCTGTCGACCAACTATACGGAGCCGGATTACCCGTAACAGGGAAAGTATCAACGGAGATGGTCACAGGGAAACGGTTTTTAACTCTTATTTCACGCGCCTCACTGAGCGGGGAACCAGGGCAATCAACTCTGAACTTTCGTTGTCGAAATGTAGGCATAGCATCGTGGTCCTTGTTCTTAGGAGTAGATGGTGGAAATGGCAGCTTTATCCTTGGAATTAGTTGCTTTTGTTTATACTGAAATTCCTTAATCTTACTTTGATTTTGCACCTGTCTTTGATCAGAATGTTCCATTTGTTTTGAGCTTACCGCTTGACTGGTCTGCGATTCCAGATCTTCTACCACTTGAGGAAAATGACCTTCAAAGCAACGATTTTCTTTCATGTTGGTTTCTTTTCCCTTTAAGGCATAATGTATTTCGGAAATTTCTTGCTTCTCGCAAATCCATTTGTCAGAAAATCCATTTGATCCAGCTGGTGTTCTCTTCAATGTAAGTAAAAAAATTTAGATTCAACGGGGTTATAACGACTAACGAGGTCGTTTTATCTACAAGTTTGAGATTACCTGAAAATTGGTGTCCACGTTGGGTTCCTTTCTTCGACGACGTACACAGCTTGCCCATTGTTTTACCACTGAGCTTAAATAAAACAACTGGAGTCTTATGGTGGCTTAAGGATTCCAACTAATTTCGGAGTAATTAAGATAAAAGGTTGTTTCAAGTTGACCTGTGACGCGAGTCAGCGCTTTGCACCGAGTTCAAGATCGTTTCAGACAGTCGCACCAGAAGTGTCAGTCATGAAAAACGCATCACTGTTCATCTCAAGCCTTTCTGTTAATAGGTCAACCCAACTGGAACATTGCTGTAATCGGTGATAGTGAGATCGAGAGAAACTGTTTCATTTTAATATTAGCCGTAAGTTGATGACGGTACAGATCACTAATGCTTGAGATTTGACTGTTTAAGGTTTGACAAAATTATACGTTGAAGCGTACAATTCATTACGTTTTGAGGTAAAAAATTGACATAATGCAAACAAGTCAACCGACAGTTGGGTATAATTAGCATTTTATTAACTTGCACGCCAGTTTCGCGTTTCAATACCGCACCTACTTCCATTGTAGAGCGTTTCAGCGAATGAAATAACTGGATGTAAAGGCACATTTCCATGACAACAAACAGACTGTCATTATTTATGCATGGTGTTACAGTAAGTTCCAGAATAGCAGCAGTTTAAATCGGTTTCCAAAGTGTTATTCTTTATTAGGCACTTAACAACAGGAATATCGGAAAGCCAAAAACCTTTCACTATCAGGAGGAGCTATCCATTTGACCCGCCCATATCGGATTGGTTGTTTAGGATAAAGGAGCAGGCCATAAGATCTGATCGCAAACTCTTTGATAATCTGCCAATTTCTTTGGTGGCTTTTTAAGTAAAAATGTTGAAACTCTAGTAACATCTTGAACTTCTGTTAAGGAGCCCGAATAAATTCAAAATTCGATCGAATTCGAACAGGTTCCTCCCAAATACCAGCTGGGTGCTACTACCAAATTAGCCTGCAGTGCAGGCGTTCTGCGAAGACGAGAGAGCGTCCGGCCGTTGCAAGAAGTCTGGATGGGAGCAGAGGAGTTGAATGCTATTATGCTTATTTAGGAGAGGAAAACCAGGCTTAATGTTGCTCATAAATTCGATAACTGGTTTCTTTTGTTGTTATTGTTTTTTTTTTTCTTGATATAATTATTACACCATACCCCAATATGTAATAAACATGGA